GTGTGTGTGTGTGTGTGTGTGTGTGTGTGTGTGTGTGTGTACACTGCAGCTCTGTGAGTCACCCATTCTTATACAAGATCCAGCGACAGCAGTTCCACAGTAGCAATGAAACTGCAACCCCTTGTACAGCGCATGCAAAGACACAAACTTACAAACAATAGCGGATCTTGATTGGAGTTAAAGAGCGACTGAAAATAAAACAGACGCATGGGCAGGGTAAACCGGGCCAGGAGGGGAACCAATGAAAAAAAAAAGAAAAGCAAAAAAAAAAGAAAAGAGGAGGAGAAGATGAAAACCTTAAAAACAACTGGCTGTGCTTCAGACAGACTCAAACTTCTCTTGATCATCACGTCTAGCCTTCAGGTGTCTGGGGTCGGCCAAGTGTAGGCGCTAGCTAGGTCGAGGGGCGGTGGGAGGATGGGGTGGGTGAGTGGAGATAACACAGCAGCCAGACAAAGAGGGAATAAGAAGCGCTGCCTACATACCACCAGCATCAAGGAAGAGAGGGTGGGAGTCAAGGGAGGGAGCGACAAGAAGAAAAGAGGAGGCTTATAAAAATTTGATTAGACAATCCTTCGCTGAAGTGACTTTCTGTGTCGGTTTGCTTTTCTTTTCCTCTCTCTCTCTCTCTTTTTTTTTGGTTTCTTCCCCTCCTCTCTCATCTTGCCTGTTCCCCTCCTTCCTCTTAGACTGCTGCCTCAGAGAACAGGGCAGACAGATTTTATAGGTCCTAATTAAAGCCATGTGAAGCCTTTCAAAACATCAAATGGCCTTGGTCCCCTAGTCTTTTCCTTTTCTTTTTTTTCCCTCTCCTCTCTGATTGAAGGCAAAGAAAAATCAAAGGGCCACTATTTTTATCTTTTATTTATTTTTATTTTTAAATGACTCCTAAATGTGGATATGTCTGTATCCTTTGCACTCCTCCTCCTTTGACCCCCCCCCACAGCCCACCAGCACCCCTAATTTCCAATCAATAGAGTTCACTGAGTGACATGACCTCTGAAGGTGCATTCACTAGAAATCCACTTGTTTTCGTTATTAAATAATTGTAAATAATTGTAAATAATTGTAATAAAACTATTTTGAAATCTCATATAACATTACTTCTTAGCCATCCTCATCCTCCTTGGGGGTTGGAGTAAAGTGCGCTTTAAGCGCTCCATTTTTTTTCTTTTTTTTTTTTTTGCTCCTGCCCCCCTCCCTAATTGTCCTCATTGAGCCGTGTGGACCGGTTGCACAGCCTGTCTGTCTGACTGGGGTCAACGGGTTTAGCGTGTGCTTTTTTATCTATATTTCATTCTATGGCGCTGTGCGGAGACAGCCACACATTCACAATGAGAACATTCACGGAGGCACACAAAGAATGTCGGCAGCTCAGAACGCACACGCACCCCCACAGAAGAACTCAGGTCACTTCAAAATCAACTCAAGTCAAATGTATCTGAATGTACACGAGCATAAAAAAAAGCTTTTACATTTTAAATCTCATTTAAATGGTTACAATAAGAACAGAAAAAAAAAATAATCCGGCGCAAAAAGTCGCCACCCCACGCAGTCATGCGTTTAGAAATGAGGTCGAGTACAATTTGAAAGCCTTCAAAATCAATGTTTTTAAGACAGATAGAAATGTATCAAATAGAGAATAGTCTAAAATCGACACTTACTGTTCATTTCTGTAACTTCTGGGCGTTTATTGTCTCGCCCCTGGCTGGCTGCGCCTCTCCGTTCGGACGCAGAAAAAAAAAAAAAAAAAGTCTCGTCCAGATTTGGACGCGGCGCTCGGGGCGCCTTCATCGGATGGACAGGAGAGAGACTCGGAGGCTGCGTGGAGATAACACCTGGTCAGTGGCGGTGGGCAGTGGGAGGGGGACAGGGCAGTGGACGTCCGATTCCGCCCGATGTCAGGTCTTGTGTGATGCCTGCGCTCGCCGGAGATTGAGCGTTGAGAGGAGTGGGGGGGTTCACAGAAAGGCGTCATGTGAGCCGGGGAGAGGCGCGCCATTGGCCAGCCGGGGAGAAGTGTGATAAGGCTCCGCCGTGCGCCATTGGCCCAGGACGGACGCGGAGGCGCCTCCTCGCCAGCCTGTGCGCAAGAATGTGAGTGCCGCTCAGCGTTCATAATTTTCACGGGGGTGGGGGGCAGAAGAGAATAAATG